CAGACTTGCTGAATGAGCTGAAAGTGTTTCATACATGGCAAAAGATTAATCCAAGATGTATGATGCTTTTGTCAAAATTTTTTCCCCTGTTTCTCCTGTAGTTTATAATCCGGATTGATCACAAGTAAGCGAGCATAGCCTTGCACCAGATCTTCTTTGTTTGTGACTTATATGCAAAGATACATATATGCATACATACTTTCTTAATTTCTGTTAGTAGGTGAGGGCAGGATCTCGCCCCTGGTCAGAAGCATACCAAGAAGAGTGGGAGCCTTAGTGAAATAAGCCTTGGGCTTCTGCTGCTATATGAGGGTAGGACATGAGTCCAAAACTATGATGGTGATGTAGCAAATATGTGACTAAGGTGGTGTTATAGCCTATATAACTCAAAACTCTTGCATACCACGTTGCATTTAATATTGCTGTAGTCCTAGGCTTTGTGTCTGATGCTACTTACCAATTGCCATGGAGCGTGGATTAAGGAGAAAGCAGTTCTAGAGTTTGTGCTTCTTATGTAGTCTGTGTTCTTTTTTTCCTAGCTCTAAGGGCTTCTGAGAGAGGATGTAATCTGAGCTGGGCTTGTGCTGGTTATGACTTCTGATTGACCTATTTGATGGAGAAAAACAAGGTTCAAACTCCTTGGTGTTGTGTGAAGGGAACACTCCCCCTTTGGGGTTGGCTGATAGTGTTCTTGTCCAATTAATTTGGACATAACTGGCAGAATTTGAAGTTTTCTTGAAACTCTGTTGTCTGAGTCTTTAAAACGTATCAGTCTTAGTTTAACTCTTAGCCATGCTTTGTGACTCTTGGCAAACTGCTTTGAACGCGTCGGTGTCATGTAATGGATTGCATGTGGAGATCTCTGTGAGCTTTAATATGTCTACACAATTCTTTGGGACTCCATGTGGAAATGCTAATCAGCTAGCTCAAGTGGAGTCTTCCAGTTTTGGAGCTTATTCCCCGGTTATTTCAGGATTTCAGTGCTGGGCTCCACTTTGTGTTGTAGATACTCCTTTTAAACTCTGTGTATTGTGGAGCTAATATTTCCCTCCCTGAGTATTTTGAGGTGTAAACAATTACTGTCTTTTCAGAACACTAACATGCTTTCTTTAAGAGGTAAGTGTAAATTTTTCCAAGGAAATATTGCTGTCCATTAAGTAGAAAGTGACTGAAAAAGAATGTATTACTTGTTGAGCATTTGTACTTAATAATATAAGAAAAAAAAAAAATCACTCAACCCTTTCATTGCTATCAAAATCAGTTTCCGTGGTATATTTTAAACTAACTTTATGGTATCTGTACATTTGTTGAGAAATTTTTCATTTCAAGATGGGTAGAACAAAGACCAAGGTACAAGTTGGTAGACTGCAGTCTATCAAAATGCAGAAAAATGCATTTTCAGTTACTGCATTGCTGGATGCTCAAGATAAAGTTTGGAAAATGCTGAGAATCCCTTGAAAGATGGATGAACATAAGTGTGTCTTTTTTTATTCATCCATATACACCACTTTAAGATAGTAAAGTTAAAAACAGATCAACAAAGATGGAATGATAATATTGATTTATTTGTGAATCTAATACAGGGAATCCAATGTAACTTGCCAGGAATATGTGGGTTTTTTCTTATAGTTGAAAAATCTCCTCAACTTCTGAAAAATAGAGATGCTTACTTAATTACTGAGGGAGTACTTTGGATGACTTCAGCAGTGGTAGAGTTTTAGTGGTATCACAGGTACTGGCTTCGCAAATGTTACTTCATTGCCATTAACTTCTCTTAATGTGTCTGTAAAATGGGGACACTGTCTGCTCTGTGGTTCTTTTCATTACTGAATAGGAATATGGACTGTAAGAATTTCCTAGCTTACATACCCTCTCTCTTAACTTAGTTCTTAAAATTGCTGCAAAAAGTCGGGGGGGAAAAAAAGTACTAAAAAAATTCGATTTATAGACACTTCATTAGTTTTCATTAGCAACTTGGAAAAGGTTAATGAATTGTTCTGTTCTTACAATATAAAGAGATCATGGCAGATCAAGAGTTACCGGTAAAATGTTTTCTTATTTTTTTTATTTTGGAAGCTTTTTCTTCTAACAGTGCAGTCCAAGTATTCTTTGGATTTTTTTTCCTCTATTTTTTAAGCTCAATCAAAATTTTAGTCTGAGTATCACATTAGAAGTTGAGGTAACTTCAGGTCACAGTAAAGCAGGTGTAGTAAAAAGAAGTAAGACTGACTTACTGAACAGTTTAGTCTTGTGTCAATCCTTCTGGTTTTAAAAACTTACTGTTCTATGTACATTTAAATATTAGTAGTGTAAGTTGTCAGTTTGTTCTCTTAAAGTCAGTAAGACTTACTCCACTGCGAGGAATTGAAGATAGCATGCCATGTTGTGTGTGTGTTGTTTTTCTGTTTTCAAGGTCTCAACATCAGTTAGGTTACAGAGAAAATACTTTCCTAGCATGCTTCTTGTATGAATAAAGTCATACTTTCTAATTTTTCCGCTAGAGGGCTGTGTTGCTCTTTGAAAATACTAAACAAAAGAGACCTGGTGCTTTTTCCTGATTTTACTAAATGCTCCTGTAATTTTGTTGTTTGTGTTCTTAATTATTAGGGCTAGAATTCAAAATTTTAAAAAGCATGTCAGCTGTTCATCTAGGTTTAATTTTATAAAGAGATGTGGTATTTTCAACTGCATGTTTAAGCAATCTCAGATCAAACAAATTTTTTAAAAATAATATTACTTGGTTTTAATATCAGGGAGACAGTTGTGGAGCTAATGTGATTTCCTTTGTATAAATACTGCTAGCTGTTTTTAAGATTCATATAGCTATATGACCTTGAAACTACAATGTGTTCTGTTTTCTGTATCGGGTGCAGTTGCATCTAACCTATTGTGATGGCTAGAGTATGCATGAGTAGCGAAATGTAAGTAGTATTGCAGTATATTATGGAATGGCAAAATGTGTATGTTCTGTGCAGTAAGGCAGATTCCACAAAGTAGGGTTTTTCTTAATGCTTTTCCAAGATTTTATCACAAAACTGTATTGATAATCACAACCAAACCATTGCTTAAACTGCAATTCTAATTTTTCTGCTATATGAAGGTTAAAAGAAATCTGTTAATTGCTTATGTAAGGGATGCCTGGAACAAGCACAAATTATCTCAAGAAAATGAAAACCACTTTTGGCTTTGAGCAGCTTAATTTTTTTTCAAATACTGAAGAAAATCCAGAAGCTTCAGTCATAATGTAGCTTGCTATATTGCTTTTCTTGATTATGTTTTACCAGGGTAAAGCATGTAACTTTATAATTGTGGAAATGTTGTAGATTATTTCTTCAAAATAATTGTCAGTTAATGTTTGGTTAAATGGAATTCTATTTTTTTTTTTTCTGGCACTCTTATTCCTGTGCAATGAAGAGGCCTTAGCCAGGAGGAAAGTTGTGTATTAGGTACTATTAATCAGTACTTAAAAGATGAGTCAGTGCTCCAGTGAGCTTTCGGTCTGCATATACTTTTCG